TCGGCTGGTTTATATTAAGACTTGTCTGATATATCAACTGCAGTCTGCCAAACAAGTGAGTTGGTGAACATTGCCTCATCATAAGCTTCAACACCTCCTTCGTCTATTATTGATATGACTTCCTTCTCTATTGCAAGCCGTCTCCCCATCAAGTCCACCAGTTCCTGGCTCTGCTTCAACAAGAGGTGATATCCAGTCCCAGACGTACATTCAAGTTGTTGCATGGCATCATGTAACTTGGTAGCACGCCCCTGCAGACCCAGCAGAGTAATACATACATCATTCAACTCAGGGCGTAGCACACTCCAACCCTCGTCACTCACTCTCTGGAGCACTGCGATAACGCGAGATTGCATGATGCGTGCCTCGGGAACACCAGACTTGTACCCAAGTTCAGTGCTCAGTTGGTCTAAGGTGCGAAACAATGCAACAACATCCTGTTTGTGAAAGTGTAGATACATATAGCACTGTATATCAAGGAAATACATACATCATTAAAATGACAACTTCGCACCCGCCAACGAGTTCGAGACTTTGCCTGCTCCATAGTCTTATTGCTACAAGAAAACAAATAAAATTCATTAAGTATCTTGATAGACTCTGAGTGGTTGAAATTGACCATTGATAATGTTGTCGTTTGCTCTGCAATCGAGCTCTGTGGCGTTCTTCTGCAGTTCCATATTTTGGTGCCATTGCGGTAATGATTTGAGGGACAAGGTGTATGTAGTAACGTACCAGTAAGTTAGTGTAAACAACTCACTGTATTGTTTGGTGGCATATGAGCCACACTTCGGGACAGACCTGTACTATGATAGACAATATAAAATTCAATTTTTGCAATGCGGATGACTTGGTGTCTTGCTGGATACTGGCCAGATGGTGGCGAGCTGGTAGGTAAGTGTCACAAAGTAATATACAGTTGTACAACATTTGGTGTGCTTGCGCAAGAAAATGCTTTCGACAATATATTTTAACACAAGTGGCACTGAACAAAAAAAAACATTACTGAATTCGAAGTGCACTACACACTGAATTATTGAATATACACTACATACATCTACAAAGCATGTTTCCTTGACATCATGAAATCAAGTTGCGCTGTTTTCAAATAATTCAGTGTGTAGTGCACTTCGAATTCAGTAATGTTTTTTTTTGTTCAGTGCCACTTGTGTTAAAATATATTGTCAAAAGCATTTTCTTGCGCAAGCACACCAAATGTTGTACAACTGTATATTACAATATATGATGATATATGACGATATCTTCTTCTCACAGGTTCTCTGATGTGACTCAACGGCAGACCTGGACTTTCTGATGGGCCTGTGATATATTATCGGCCATGCGAGAATCACTGTTGGCATGCTGAACTGAGCTTAAAGCTTATCAGATGACGTTGCTTGTGAGGCCTGGGTCATACAAGACTCGCATGTCTGATTCAAACGTAAATATTTATCATGATTGAGTATCTAGCATATGTAAGAATGAAACAGTTAATCCCCACAGAACCTATTCATTGGGGACACCCCATGATATTTTGAGTTTGCAGTGACAAACAGTACTTTCACGTTAGACCGTCTCACCACACCACACCGCCAAAGCAAGCCTGAAATACTCCTTAGCTTCATGGAGTGTGGTGAAGTAATGGACAGATGTGCCTGGGGCATGAAGCATCCGGGTGGTAGATCTATGAATAATTTGATGCGGTTCAGATCAAGAGCAATAAAAAGCGACTGACATTTCATTGTATAGCCCCACACCAAAATGACTAGTGGTCATGAACCAGTTAAATTCAAGAGCAGGGTCAAGGTCAGCGAGTGTTTCAGTACCACTCATACTGGACTCTCCCCCATTTTGGAAGAGGAACTATCGAGACTGTTGTCAGCAGCAGCAGCCGTGGGGCCAATACAAATATCATCAATAGAGACTTCTGAGGAAGTGTCCTCCTCTTTGGCCAGGGAGCGGTCTTCTGGGCTATGAGAGACTGCGCAATTTATGAGTAAAATGAAAGAGGAAAATGTATGCAAGTTCACGGTACCTGTTTGTGTATGGACTGAGCACACCTCATCTTCAGGTCAGTAAGGCCATCCATATGGTTTCAGTGATGATGGGGGAACTGTGTGAGATGCAATGGTGAGCAAGCACTTTGGTGATATCATAACAAAAACTTACCATGACCGTTCTGTACCATACGTATGGCCTTGATGAATTGCTCCATCGTGAAACACGGGTGGCGGCACTTTGGTCACCCCATTTTAGATACCTCTTAGGTTGATTGTTGTCTATAGAGATTTGTACCTAAGAGGTATGTTTCTGCTGGTCTCTCCAACGTTCCACGGTCCTTCCCTATTATTTGTGTGGACCAAAAGAGGATGTACTGCCCATGGACCATAGACCATTGGGACCATGTCATGGCACGTACCACAGGGTATTTTGGACCATATATCTAATGGATTTTCCCAGATATACCGGAGTGTCTGGGGTCACAAACCACCTAGATTTTCATTTTTTGCGATAATTTTCTGTTGATTCTGATGGTGAATAGCATTGAACTACCATGAATGTTTGTGTTATATCTACCATATAGAATCATATAATGGCTGAAATTGTGAATGCAATTGTATATTGCTCAATTTAGTGTCTTGCTAGGAAGACACTGTTCATTATGAAGTCTGGTAGTATTTGTGGTCATATCTGTTTAGTTCTACTATAATTCAACCAATCTTCTCGCACTAACAATACAAAGGATACACTGTGACAATCAAGCCTGCACTAGGCTTGTATGATTGCATTACCATATTTGTCTATGTGTTACCGGCATACCTGGACCTACCTTTCTTATCTGTCACTCAGCTGAGCCTCTTTGACTAGTTTAAGCCCTATGTCCACACAGGTCCTGTCGATTGGTACATAATAATGTGGTATGGTTGTTACATGCTTTCGCTGCAGGTACACTGACTGAATTTTTACAGATGCATATCCCCATGCACCTACACTTGCTACTGACTTCACCTGTACATTCTGGAGTTTTACATGGTACAATAAAAAAGAGCTCCAGAGTTGATAGCTAGGATGCTTCCTACCTTGGACCTTGGTAGTGGTCACCTAGTGTTTTAAAATATTGCGCAATCATTACCTTCGTTGTGAACCATGGTACTTGTGACTCCCACCTTACCTTTGCCTAGGTGATTTCGCCCATCCTAGTTACCTTCGCCTGGATGCCAGGTTTACCAGTAGTATCTTTAGTCATGATCCCATGGTAGAAAACAACATTGACAAGGATATAGACTACTTTGGGAGTACTGTATGTCATGTAGGGGAGACCACAAAGACATCATGACCTATGTAGGGTGGACCATATAGGGTGGACCACACCAACAGTATAGACCAACTAGGGCGGACCATATATCAGATAGGGCAGGCCACAACACCATTGTAGAGTAATTAGGGAGGGCCATATGTCCCACAGGGCAGACCATAAAGACATTATAGCCTAAGTAGGGCGGACCACAACACCATTATAGTCTAATTAGGGAGGACCATATGTCCCATAGGGCAGACCGCCTACATAGGGCGGACCACAACACCACTATAGACTAATTAGGGAGGACCATATGTCCCATAGGGCAGACCGCAAAGACATTATAGTGTATGTAGGGCAGACCGCAACAATGCTATAGACTAATTAGGGAGGACCATATGTCCCATAGGGCAGACCGCAAAGACAATATAGCCTACATAGGGTGGACCGCAACACCACTATAGACTAATTAGGGAGGACCATATGTCACATAGGGCGGACCACAAAGACAATATAGCCTACATAGGGTGGACCATATTTCATGTAGGGCGGACCACAACAACATGATAGACTAACTAGGGCAGACCATATATAATATAGGGTGGACCACAACAACATGATCAGAATGCTGTACAGTACGAATCTATGATGTTGGTCCAGTACCCCCGCCAAGAAAAAATTGACGAATTGCGCAAAATGCCCCTTATTTTACACATTTTCACTTTCCCAGATCAGCCCCCCCTCCCTATGTCAGTCCAGCACCCCCGCCAAGAAAAATAGATGATGATCAGAATGCTGTATGGTACGAATCTATGATGTCAGTCAGTTTCCCTTCCAAGAAATAATTGATGATGATTGGACTGCTGTACGGTACGAATCTATGATGTTGGTCCAGTACCCCCACCAAGAAAAAATTGATGAGGATTGGAATGCTGTACGGTATGAATCTATGATGTCAGTCCAGTACCCCCACCAAGAAAAAATTGATGAATTGCACAAAATGGTATGTGAGTTCTTTCTGTCTGTCATATGCACATGTGGGTTAACAAATATCATATTCCGCCATATATGTGCGGACACCTTGATGATCTCACCAAGCTTGTACATCAAGTCATATTCACTCTGCATAGCACCACCATCTGGCATCAACTGCTATACTGGGACGGACAGGTGGAGGCGGGACAGGCATAACGGTGAGAATCATCCACTCAGGATGAGCATACTCATCTGAAAGACCTATTAGATGAAGGTCGGAGTCTGACATCTTCTTGAACATCGTATAAACCTCTGAAGACGGTGTAATCAGCTGCTTGTCAGGCTGCATTGATTTCACATCCTCACCCTCATCTTTGGGTCTCTTGTATTGGACAAAAAGCTTCAGTCCTTCTTTCCTAATGGCCAGTTGTACATGACCACATCCACCATGACCTTTCTTGGGCTCATCCGCATCTCCTTCAGCACCATCTTCCTTGGGCTCGTCAGTCTCACAGACCATCTTGGTCTTGCAGTGCGCATGAGACCATATAAGATAGTGTGACATACCAGTTACAGAGACAAGATAACCCATCCCACCCCCTTATCATACACCTTTTCACTTTCCCAGAGATTTCACATCCTCACCCTCATCTTTGGGTCTCTTGTATTGGACAAAAAGCTTCAGTCCTTCTTTCCTAATGGCCAGTTGTACATGACCACATCCACCATGACCTTTCTTGGGCTCATCCGCATCTCCTTCAGCACCATCTTCCTTGGGCTCGTCAGTCTCACAGACCATCTTGGTCATGATCAGAATGCTGTATGGTACGAATCTATGATGTCAGTCCAGTACCCCCACCAAGAATGATCAGAATGCTGTATGGTGCAAATCTATGAAGTTGGTCCAGTACCCCCACCAAGAAAAAATTGATGAATTGCACAAAATGCCCTTTATTACAGACCCCCTCTCCCTATGTCGGTCAGTACTCCTGTGAAGAAAAATTGATAATGATTGGAATGCTGTACAGTACGAATCTATGATGATGGTCTAGTACTCCTGCCAAGAATGATCAGAATGCTGTACAGTATGAATCTGTGATGATGGTCCAGTACCCCCGCCGAGAAAAAATTGATGAAGATTGGAATGCTGTACCATATGAATCTATGATGATGGTCGAGAAAAAATTGATGAATTTTGCAAAATGGTATGTGAGTTCTTTCTGTCTGTCATATGCACATGCAGGTTAACCATAGACTACTAAGTAAGGCAGAACATATGAGATAGTGTGACATACAAGTTACAAGGACAGGATAACCCACCCCACCCCCTTATTACACACCTTTTCACTTTCCCAGATAGCCTCCCCGCCCCCTATGTGCTCGATTCATCACATCAACTATTGTCTATGCACTCAATTTTCATTGTTTCATTTTTGTACATGTACTTGCCATATGATAAACTACATGGAAACATCCTAGCATGTAAAGAACCATGAGATGTGGTGGTGCAAAATGAAGGCTGTGAAGTCAGAATATATTAATGAAAATGGTGCTACAATGCACCTTACAATGTTACTGTGGCGGCAGGTGTAGAATTCATACCAAAAACCCTCAATAAGGTCATCGAGAATTCACATTAAGACTAGCAAATTTAAACGGTCACACTTCGGACAGTATTCTCTAGTGAGACGGCTGGAAAAACATAGTGATATTCGCATCAATGTCTATCACTTATCTGATCATAGTATGCACGTGACAACTAAAAAGGCATAAAGCATAAGTGATGAAGGGGCATACACATAAGGGGCATAACATGATGAGCAACTGGACAGGGCACTGAGTGAGTGAGGTTAAAACATAATATGAGAAGTTGCAACACAGTAAGGATCCAAACCAAAACATGCGAGAATGATATACTTGCTATGAAGATCAGTAGGAATCAAATTCATACTCAGCTTCAACAGCCACTCAACAGCCGTGCTGGCGTGAAGGCGAAGCGATCAGTATAGGGTGCCGCTGACGAATGAGATGGTAAGCGCGCAGCGTTCCTATTTGGGACGGCTCATGCCATGGACGGAGCACGAGCAATCGGCTTATGACTAAGTGAATGGCAATGAATTAGCACCGTAAAATAAAATGACAATTGAATAGTAACTTACTGATGCCCAAGAGTAGACCTTTGATCCATGCTTGTCCTGTCCTGCGATTCAAAAGGTTGGTTGAGATTGAAAAAATAAAATAAAATAAAGATGTAGACGACATACTGCGCATCCTGGCCCAATGCCTATCATCCACCACGGCAGTCTCGATGTCGTCGGCCTCACTGATAGTTTCATAATCACCACGAGGTCGTTTCCGAGTGTCAGACTTAGAGGCCAAAGAATGGCGGATGTCTTCACACAGACGGTTGTACTGGGATCGTCCATGGGCTGCATTTGCATTTGAACCTCGAGGCGTAGCAGGGGAAAAAGGAGATGATGGTGGGAGATTGTCATAGTCGTCTGGGAGGTCACTGTAGTCAGCATGATTATCATAGTCCAGTGTGCCTAGGGACAAATTGATTGGAGCGCTGGAGCCCCAGAAGTGGAGCGTGCAAGCCCCAGCGGTGGAGCGCAAAGCCCCAGCGGTGGAGCGCAAAGCCCATTGGTTTAGAGCGCGGAGCCCCAAGGTTAGAGCGTGGAGCCCCAAGGTTAGAGTGCGTGGAGCCCCAGAGGTGGCAGCGTGGAACCATACCACGTGTGTGAGAAACCTGCTGGTAATGAGTACAAAGATCTTCAGTTGAATCATAAATTTACCAAGTTAGGACACGGAAGCCTCTGAGCCGAATGCTCTGCACTTGCATCTGAGGTCGGAGTTTCTGCACGAATCATCTGCCTATTGCTTGCGAGTGACGTGGGGAGGGAGATCCTTAATAAATTTTTCTGAATCTTTGAGACGACATAAGATGACACCATCTGTATCAATGACAAGAGGGATTTCGAACACCTCGCCAGTGTACGAGGTAAGGTCTTGCAACTGAACTGTAGTGCGAAGATATTAATTGGTGGCGATTTCGAATATGGGAAAACTGCACGAGGATTCCAACCCTGGATAGATAAGAGAACATCAGGCACCTCCACGACCGCGCCCTTTGTTCGTCGATGCTCATTAGACTTCTTGGACTTGCCTTTCCGCTTGGCCATCTTGCCTTTCTCTGCATCACTATCATCCTCATCCTCATCTCGGCCCAACTCAGCTTCATACATCTCACTAAGATGAATCCTCAAATATGGACCCACCAGGGCGCGTAACTGACTTGCAGACAGTGATTTGAGGTCAAAATCAGGGCCAGGGGGCGGAACTCCAGGCGGGCCAGTCATGGATGCATAACCTTGTCGAGTACAGGACATCGAGCATTGTCATCCATCTACTATTGGAAGTCTTTAGCGCATGACCGGCTTCAGCTATTAAAAATGTGAGTACAATGGCAGTACGATCAGGTGAGAGATATTAACCGAATGCTTCGCTGATCACCACGGGTGCAACCATGCGATTTCTATCCCTGTCGGATTTACCATTGCGTAGAAGCGAAGCATTGGCTGACCAGGGGCAGGTGGCGGAAGAAAATTGATATTCTTGCCTCCTGCTTGCGCAGCCTCTAAATCCTTGTACCTGTAGTATGTTAGCATGACTGTAGCCTTTAATTAAAAACAAAACACACTTAAGGATTGTCATGATCTCATCTATCATATGCTTGGCATCAACTCGTTGAGCGTCAATGAGGGCCTTTACAATATCTGACCCCGCAAAAAAGCCAGGAGGCCTGGCTGGCCAGACTCCTCATCTCCTGGATAAATCACAATGCCAGCGACATGAATTCCATATGTACAGTGCCAGTACAAAGCCTTCAGAAGGTCGTGTTATCAATAAAGGTTAGTTACCAGTAAACGTTAGTCACCAAAACAGCACTCACCGATTTCGCAAACATTTCACAGACTGCCATCATGAGACTGCATGACTCTCAAGAGGATAGATCGTCAGGAGTGGCAATCGCATGATCAAAATGCTCTCAGATTTGTTTCCAGAGAGCCGCGTTCTTAGGGTCCTTGTGTGAGTGGGCATGATAATGCTCAGCGTGCTTGACTTTCCATGCCTGCAAGCTCGCTGAAAGGGTATGAACATAGATCGGAACAACCTTCAACGCAATAACATACCTGCTTTGGATGGGTGCAGCACAGTTTTAAACCAGGCCTGATGCTGGTTCCAAATGGACTCCTTGCGAGTTGCTTTCCTAGCTAATCCTGCCTCCGTCAGAATAACCTGCCGATGTTTCCCAAACTGTTTGCCAATTTTAGGTCGCTTCCTCCTGGACCCTCTTCCCAAATCATGCACTACCAGAATAGCTTCCTTAGATAGTCTGCCCGCTTTGCACGTGGTCTCGTCCCCGTCTTCAAGCTTGTCTTCTTCAGTCGCAACCCTCGGAATCATCATCATTGTCGTCTGCCTCTGCCTCTGCCACTGCTTTGCCCTTCTGATGTCCCTCTGTAGATGGGCTGGGGGACCTCATGGGATTCAGCATGGCGCTCTGCTTTCTTTCGCTGCTCTTCTGTTGCAGCCCAGTCGCTATCAGAGCCAGAGCTCTCTACAGATTTCCCCTCGTCAGAAGGTAAGTATGACTTCCGGGCACCGGATCTGCGCGGGCGATGGGCTATCGATGTTACCAAACACATGAGCGGTGTACTACCAAATGTATAGTGAAACCTACCTGCAGTATTCTCCCTTTCGTTTGTTTTGATCACGCTGTGAGCGTTGGATGGAGCTTTTATAAATTATGTTAGTGTATGTACTATGAATTGGATGAAGAAACTTACATGCATTGATCCTCCTTTCATTAACCGCTGCATGACCATCGGGTTCATTCAAGGACGGAACTGTCGTATGACATGTTTGGTCATTTCACTTAAAAAAAATGTAACACGAAACCTACCTGCAACAGTTGACCCCGTTGTTCGTTGCTACGTTGCTGCCGTGCTCACCGTCGGACTGAGCTGTGATAAATATATTAGCAGTGTACCATGAGATGTTTGAATAAAATCACCCACAGTCTCATCTTGTTCATTTGTCGCTGCAGGATTGCCAGACTCACTGTCGGACGGAGCTATAATGGAATATTGTTAATTGTGTACCATAAACAATGTAACAAAACTTACCGGCTGTTGTCTCCCTTTCGTTCAGTCGCTGCAGGACTACAATATTCACCATTGGATGGACCTGCAATACGTATTAATTATTTACAACCAAATGACATGAATGGTGGAACTTACGTTGGGTTTGATTTTTGTTGCCTGTTACTAAAACACCGTCAATGCCAAAGACTATTTTGCAGATGGGTAAACAATACCTGTACCCGTGTCACTCTCATTGCGGAGAACAGAACTGTCATCCCTGAGAGAAGCTGAGGGACCAGAGTTATTCAAAGTTGAAGACCAAAGAGAAAACAAACCTTCAACTTGCTGTGTATCATTATCTGTCCTCTGCGGAATCATCAGCAGTAGTCAGAAGGTGGTAAGTGAACTTACCGTCAGGGTCAGGATAACTGGGCCTCGGGATCCTCACTTGCATCATTGGACTTGTCCCTGACGAATGAACGCCTGGCAAAATTGGAAAAGAAAATTTCTTCCTCAGCAGATGATGTCAAAGGGTCGGAACGTTCGGACCTTCGAAGGGGACGAGCCTTAGGCCGAGGGCGAGGTACCTAACAACGAGTCAGTAGATGGCAAAATGACTGCTATAAGCTTACATTGGCATTGGCCGACTTTGGACCAGGGCAGGGAACGTGCTTCGTTGCCATCCTTTGACGTATGGGTAGAAACCTGGTCGGCTCGAAGTGGGGCTTTTGACCGGTGTCCAGAGCAGGTAGTAAGAGGCATATTTGAAACTGTTCTTCGTAGTCACGAAGATACGAAGAAGGTATGATATCTTGAAAGAAACACGAAGTTTCTCCACAATTTTATTGCACCGATGCAAAGTCAGGTAAGGATACGTGGAAGAGAAATTCAGATTGTAAGAGCAAGTAAAAAAAAACTAGAAATTGAGAGGGTACCTACAGATCAGATAGCATTATATATACAATCACAAGACCCTAAGGTGGTTAGTGGGTTTTGGATTGCCAAGGAAGGATTCTATTCGCTTGACAGCCGAACAAAGTGGGCGCCATGGATTGCGCAGGATATGTGACAGTAACTGAAATGGAGCCAAGAGGTTGGTAAGAAGATCTGTGATAACAATGAACATTAGAACCTACTC